CCCTAACAGATAAAAATTGATATGGTTTACTAAGCAGTTTCGTGTCAATTGATGCATATCTAGTAGATTTGGACAAGCATGATTCAAGACCACACAGACTCTGTTTTGACCAAGGATAAGCAAATTCACGTGACGTGGTTGTCTTCAACCGGTGCCTCGGTCACTTTAAAATAACGCTCACGTTGCCCATAACATCTTGACAGGTAGTTTAGACGAAACCCACACCGATCCAATGGGGATTATATAAATAGCGTCATTTATTTATTTAAATTATGACAGCACCAACAACGCTTTTTGCATAACAGGTACCATTGAATATGTATAAGTAAACACAGGGCCACCGGCGTATTCGTTTGGAAACCCATGGTCTTTATAGTAAGATCTATTAAAGCATTTACATTAAAGGGTACTCCTTTTCACGATTTATAGCAGCAAATATACTCATTGACAGGCTAGAAGTACCGTTAGCACAGATAATTCAGATTAAAATAAAACATTTAACTAAGCGTATATCTTGTGTTTGAATTGCTTTTATGCCAATTACAAGGAAAATTTAGTTTACTTTACCGTCAATAATAATTATATTTGCACCAAGAAAGGCTATAATTCTTCAAACCACACACGTGCCTTCCTCCAATGAAGAAAAACAAATTTTTATAAGCTGGATTACCATTTTTCCTTCGGATTTAAAGTGCCTTTCCTCCGGTAGCTTTCAAAACACGCGAGTGCTGAAGTTTGGATCTAGAAAATTTTTTGCATGGAATTAAGGTTACTAATCAAACACATTCAAGTCGCCTAGAAGAATAATCCGCGGCAAAAGCAATAGAAGTTACTTCTCCACTACGGTGGCAAACGAGCTTAATTAATAAAATCGACTTCCGGTCACTAGATATTTGAAGTTGCAAGAGCACCAAAGTCCAGAAAATTGCCGTTCGGGGTTAAATAAGACAATAAATCCTTAGACAATTATATGTTCAGGTGAATATGTAAACTGCGCAGCAACCTTCGGCCAAAATAGAGCTCTAACTAGGTGTAAGGAAAGCTCGAACAAAAGCTAATGCATGACGTAAAGTTGAAAATAAATTTGATTCATGCATTTTCCATCATATATTTTTCCAAAATGGGAATTCGAGGTTTATTGAAGGAAGTTTTTACTCTACCACTCAAAAGCTATTCAGCACCGTTTATCACTTCAAATATAGGTAAAATTACTTAACAAAACTAATACAGCATACTATAAACTATTTTAAATAAATTGAGATTCTAAATATCACGCTGTTTTACATACATTTATAATTATTGTATGAATTATTTTCAAATGAAAATTGTCGATACATTGACAGAAACGATAAGTAAAGATGCCTTTTCACTTAAAATCAATCTCAAAATTGAAACCTGAAATTCCAAATTTTTTAGGGAATTCATTGAAACGTGTATTGAGTTATTAGTCAACAAAATTATATGATTCTACTAGCTTAATTATTTTTTTAAAAGTACAATTATTTTAATATCCTCAACCTTCGAATTGCTTGTAACCTTTGTAAGTGAATTAAAAATAGATTTTAATTCTTGATAAATTGTCCTATGAAAGAAAATGTTTTATATGAAAATTCAGTAACTCCAGCGAAAGCAGAAATGAAGAAGAAAATTTTCATCCTGTCTGAATTGTTGTACAAAATGAGGGTATGAATAAGTTGAAGGTGAAATAATAATAATAATAATAATAACAATAATAATAATAAATGTCTATTTATCATTGGAGAAAGTCTGAATTATTCCATTCGGACAATCAGACAAAAATGTACAACTGCTAGGATTCATACTAACTTTACTCTTCAGCAAATAATGCGATGCATTTATGAGAAATTATGTGATTCACGCAAAATATCACCAATAACTTTGGTCTCAATAACTTATTGTCTCAATTACGTCTTATAATGTCAATAATTAAATTATGCGAAACTTTCGCATTCAAAACAATGTCAGCGTAAAGGTCACGAATAATTTAGATCAAAGGTGTGCGAACGATAAAATTGAATTCTTGTAGTTTCTATGTTCTATCATGTCGGTTAGCGTTGAATACCTTTAAGGTTTAAGAAATCGGAAATAATTTTTATGAAATCATTTGAACTATCTCCAAAATTGGAAAAAGGGTTCGAACTGGAGATTACCAAAAGGGGTCAATCTGCAAAGACAATCCTGATCAGGAAGAAATCAGCATATTTTGGTTCTAAGACGATGCATAGTTAACAAAGTGCGTAACAAAAGAAGCACATAGCGAAACCCAGAAATGCGCAAAGAACTTTCGCGCTTCCAAAGAAAAGGGCATTTGGCAGAAAAGTGTACTCTTCATTTGTGATAACAAAAATATCGCTATAAAAAATATAAAATTTGAACAAAAAATTCATGAAAATTAGCGCTCAATAAATCATCAAAGCTGATTTATGAAATAAGAAAGAACGGCATCTTCACAATTCGGCGGAATTAAAAAAGTGTAGGATGTTTCAACAAACGGTATACAATAAGAAAGAATAAGAGCAAATGTTCTGCACGACTTCATCAAAAGAGATGTGAGAAAAAAGGTGAAAATAGAACCTCAAAGGCACGAATTTTAAATAGGAGTAGAGACTCCGAAATTTTATAACAAAATTAGTAATTATATCAGAGAAATGCCCTGAACCTTTTAGACTATTCAAAAAATTGAAACTCACAAACATATTTAGCTTACATCATAGGATATGCATGCGTAAAGGATCGTGTCTTTTGTAAAATGAAACTAATGGCGAAATTAGCGCACCTGAAGAAAGAATAAACGTTGTGTAATTTCCTGAATTAATTCCTTCGACGCGTCTTCAGGAAAAAATTTTGCTCTGAATTCGAATGCAAAAGGAGAAGTCTTTTTGATGTCGATTGAAGATATCTGAATAGAAAAAAAGTTAAGCGAACAAATAGCAAAATGCCTTTTTATCGAGGTTGAGCCATGATTCTTCACCATCATTTGTTCGATATGCCAATCCAAAATACCATACCTCTCGCAAACCTATCGTTCTTGCAACCTAATAATTATTAGTGACTGTATATAACTATCTGATTACATTCTCAAGCAACCGTTTTCCATTCGTTGTTGATTTCACTGCAAAATCGAGCTCAGCTTCGAGTGTAGATACACAAACATTAATCTAAAAGTTAGTAATGCTTAACTGCTTACAATTTTTGGCTTCTTAGATAGGAAGGGCATTTTTATCCATATATACACGAGATATCATTTCTACATTTGCAATAACTTATCAAAATTTCAAGGTCAAATAATTTGTAATCGTTTTCAAGGTTAGAGCTCATTTCAATAAATACAAACAGCATTTTTTCCTCGGTGTAAATTTACCTTAAATTAAATCAAAATGTCTATATTAAATATATATACAAAGTTTAATGTTGTATTTAGGAAGTTCCAGAATGGTTTATTGTAATGAATAAATTTCATTTGTTTCTGGTCTTTCAAATTAAATCAGAAAGGTTTTATCTCGTGTTTATTTTATCGACCATTTTTTTAATAATTCAACTTTATATTTCAAGTGCTTTCATTTAATTTACGTTTATGCGCATAAGTCTCTTAACTCTAAAGTTCTCATCTGTATACTTCGTTATTCATTGTTGTAGTTAACTTTAAAAAGGAATATATTATTATTTCACTTTGTAATGATTCAGAAACAATTTACGTCATTATAGGCATAGTTGCATATTGTATCTATTACTGACGTTAAGAACTTAAGTTCCTGGAAATTTTAAGCTGCAGTTACATGAATTCGTTAGTATTGTCATTTAGGTTTTTCTTAAAAAAACTGATGAAATTATTCCTTATTTTTAACAAAAAATAGAGAACAAAGGTATTTATCATGTAGATACTAGATTCTTATTCTTGATTTTGCAAAAGAATGCATGGAATATACTTTACAATATATAGTAGATTATAAAATCTAACTCTTAACCATATTTTCAGTAACATAAATTCATTTTAATTGTGAATTTATGTTGGGTGGGGTCTGTTCACCTCACATGGACATCATTATAACTTAAAATTTTGTCCCATTCCATGGGCTTTCTCTCATTTATCATATGAGGAGAAACGCGTGCCTCCAAATTTAGAAAAGGCCGGTTTGGTCATTGTGTTTACCAATTTGATACGCTTGTCAATGGCTTTATGTTCAAGCGTACAACAGACTAAATTCATTTTCGCGAATAGTACTCATATCGGCATAAACAATCCCTCTACGTACAGAAAAGATAACTTTCAAAATGCGCTCGAGATTAGAATCCTCGACGAAATAGCTCTTAGCTAACTGGGCACCATGCAGTTGAGCACCCTAGCACGTAAAATGGAATAGATTAGAGTTCTTCTGGCTTGGATCCTTCAATCGACGTATCAGCCCGAATTTCGCTAATTTGGCTTCAAAAGTAGAGACATAAATTATGTATTTACAAAACCGCTTTAACAAAGTATCATAAATTGCAAAAAAACGATAAATTCAATCCCTCAAGCGAGTTTATACAATTCATCTTCATAAACCAGCTCCCCATTCCTCACTTTTTTCTCCAAAAACTGCCTCAACTGCTGTCTTGTGCACTCAGAAACATCATTCGAACCCAGGGCAAACATCTTCAGTGTCGAATGGATTCGATCGATACACATTCCACCCAAATTGGTCAGCATACCCAAAATGTATGACCAAAAGATCTGAAATTAAATATATATAAATCAACAATAGTCACCCAGTCACTAAATTCCAACATAAGTGGAAATTGAAAGCATTTACAATGTAAGATTAAATCATACCTGTGGACCCATGTTGTTGTCAACATCTTTAGTAGGTGAGGTCTCCATTTCTTCAGGGCCATCTGTATCAACGAAACTGACATTGACGTTAGAATTAGTAGCTCCACCACTTGCCGATGTACAAACTCGATAAGTGTCTCCATCTCCAACAACCTGTTCAATGAACCCGCGTTGAATGAATGGCGTTAAGCAGCGACGCACTGCCGATATAGTGACTTCGATTTGCTGAAATAATAAGGAAATAAAGAACCATCAAGAGAAAAGAGACACTTACTTCATGACGCTTAAAACATGCCAATCATACTCCATCCATCCCAATTAATTTAGCAAAGACATATTCATGGTTATAAAAATTAGACTACTTATTTCTCTGCATGGGTTGGGAGGAAATGGTTGGACACAATGGGTGTGCGATAGACTTACCTCCACGTGGTGCGCCCTGGG